ACCTAGGCTCTGATTGACCTAGGCTCTGATTGACCTAGGCTCTGGTTGACCTAGTCTTTGATTGACCTAGGCTCTGATTGACCTAGGCTCTGGTTGACCTAGGCTCTGGTTGACCTAGGCTCTGGTTGACCTAGGCTCTGGTTGACCTAGGCTCTGGTTGACCTAGTCTCTGATTGACCTAGGCTCTGATTGACCTAGGCTCTGGTTGACCTAGTCTCTGATTGACCTAGGCTCTGATTGACCTAGGCTCTGGTTGACCTAGTCTCTGATTGACCTAGGCTCTGATTGACCTAGGCTCTGGGTGACCTAGTCTCTGATTGACCTAGGCTCTGATTGACCTAGTCTCTGATTGACCTAGGCTCTGGTTGACCTAGTCTTTGATTGACCTAGGCTATGATTGACCTAGGCTCTGGGTGACCTAGTCTCTGATTGACCTAGGCTCTGATTGACCTAGTCTCTGATTGACCTAGGCTCTGGTTGACCTAGTCTCTGATTGACCTAGGCTCTGATTGACCTAGGCTCTGGTTGACCTAGTCTTTGATTGACCTAGGCTCTGATTGACCTAGGCTCTGGTTGACCTAGTCTCTGATTGACCTAGGCTCTGATTGACCTAGGCTATGGTTGACCTAGTCTTTGATTGACCTAGGCTCTGATTGACCTAGGCTCTGGTTGACCTAGGCTCTGGTTGACCTAGGCTCTGGTTGACCTAGGCTCTGGTTGACCTAGGCTCTGGTTGACCTAGTCTCTGATTGACCTAGGCTCTGATTGACCTAGGCTCTGGTTGACCTAGTCTCTGATTGACCTAGGCTCTGATTGACCTATGCTCTGGTTGACCTAGTCTCTGATTGACCTAGGCTCTGATTGACCTAGGCTCTGGTTGACCTAGTCTTTGATTGACCTAGGCTCTGATTGACCTAGGCTCTGGGTGACCTAGTCTCTGATTGACCTAGGCTCTGATTGACCTAGGCTCTGATTGACCTAGGCTCTGGTTGACCTAGTCTCTGATTGACCTAGGCTCTGATTGACCTAGGCTATGGTTGACCTAGCCTTTGATTGACCTAGGCTCTGATTGACCTAGGCTTTGGTTGACCTAGGCTCTGGTTGACCTAGGCTCTGGTTGACCTAGGCTCTGGTTGACCTAGGCTCTGGTTGACCTAGTCTCTGATTGACCTAGGCTCTGATTGACCTAGGCTCTGGTTGACCTAGTCTCTGATTGACCTAGGCTCTGATTGACCTAGGCTCTGATTGACCTAGGCTCTGATAGACCTAGGCTCTGATTGACCTAGGCTCTGGGTGACCTAGTCTCTGATTGACCTAGGCTCTGGTTGACCTATGCTCTGGTTGACCTAGGCTCTGATTGACCTAGGCTCTGATTGACCTAGGCTCTGGTTGACCTAGTCTCTGATTGACCTAGGCTCTGATTGACCTAGGCTCTGGTTGACCTAGTCTCTGATTGACCTAGGCTCTGATTGACCTAGGCTATGGTTGACCTAGTCTTTGATTGACCTAGGCTCTGATTGACCTAGGCTCTGGTTGACCTAGGCTCTGGTTGACCTAGGCTCTGGTTGACCTAGGCTCTGGTTGACCTAGGCTCTGGTTGACCTAGTCTCTGATTGACATAGGCTCTGATTGACCTAGGCTCTGGTTGACCTAGTCTCTGATTGACCTAGGCTCTGATTGACCTAGGCTCTGATTGACCTAGGCTCTGATTGACCTAGGCTCTGATTGACCTAGGCTCTGGGTGACCTAGTCTCTGATTGACCTAGGCTCTGGTTGACCTATGCTCTGGTTGACCTAGGCTCTGTTGACCTAGGCTTTGATTCACCTAGGCTCTGGTTGACCTAGTCTCTGATTGACCTAGGCTCTGATTGACCTAGGCTCTGGTTGACCTAGTCTCTGATTGACCTAGGCTCTGATTGACCTAGGCTCTGGTTGACCTAGTCTTTGATTGACCTAGGCTCTGATTGACCTAGGCTCTGGTTGACCTAGGCTCTGGTTGACCTAGGCTCTGGTTGACCTAGGCTCTGGTTGACCTAGGCTCTGGTTGACCTAGTTTCTGATTGACCTAGGCTCTGATTGACCTAGGCTCTGGTTGACCTAGTCTCTGATTGACCTAGGCTCTGATTGACCTAGGCTTTGGTTGACCTAGTTTTTGATTGACCTAGGCTCTGATTGACCTAGGCTCTGGTTGACCTAGGCTCTGGTTGACCTAGTCTTTGATTGACCTAGGCTCTGATTGACCTAGGCTCTGGTTGACCTAGGCTCTGGTTGACCTAGGCTCTGGTTGACCTAGGCTCTGGTTGACCTAGGCTCTGGCTGACCTAGTCTCTGATTGACCTAGGCTCTGATTGACCTAGGCTCTGGTTGACCTTGTCTCTGATTGACCTAGGCTCTGATTGACCTAGGCTCTGGTTGACCTAGTCTCTGATTGACCTAGGCTCTGATTGACCTAGGCTCCGGGTGACCTAGTCTCTGATTAACCTAGGCTCTGATTGACCTAGGCTCTGATTGACCTAGGCTCTGGTTGACCTAGTCTCTGATTGACCTAGGCTCTGATTGACCTAGGCTCTGGTTGACCTAGTCTTTGATTCACCTAGGCTCTGATTGACCTAGGCTCTGGGTGACCTAGTCTCTGATTGACCTAGGCTCTAATTGACCTAGTCTCTGATTGACCTAGGCTCTGGTTGACCTAGTCTCTGATTGACCTAGGCTCTGATTGACCTAGGCTCTGGTTGACCTAGTCTTGGATTGACCTAGGATCTGATTGACCTAGGCTCTGGTTGACCTAGGCTCTGGTTGACCTAGGCTCTGGTTGACCTAGGCTCTGGTTGACCTAGGCTCTGGTTGACCTAGTCTCTGATTGACCTAGGCTCTGATTGACCTAGGCTCTGGTTGACCTAGTCTCTGATTGACCTAGGCTCTGATTGACCTAGGCTCTGGTTGACCTAGTCTCTGATTGACCTAGGCTCTGATTGACCTAGGCTCCGGGTGACCTAGTCTCTCATTGACCTAGGCTCTGATTGACCTAGGCTCTGATTGACCTAGGCTCTGGTTGACCTAGTCTCTGATTGACCTAGGCTCTGATTGACCTAGGCTCTGGTTGACCTAGTCTTTGATTGACCTAGGCTCTGATTGACCTAGGCTCTGGGTGACCTAGTCTCTGATTGACCTAGGCTCTGATTGACCTAGGCTCTGATTGACCTAGGCTCTGGTTGACCTAGTCTCTGATTGACCTAGGCTCTGATTGACCTAGGCTATGGTTGACCTAGTCTTTGATTGACCTAGGCTCTGATTGACCTAGGCTCTGGTTGACCTAGGCTCTGGTTGACCTAGGCTCTGGTTGACCTAGGCTCTGGTTGACCTAGGCTCTGGTTGACCTAGTCTCTGATTGACCTAGGCTCTGATTGACCTAGGCTCTGGTTGACCTAGTCGCTGATTGACCTAGGCTCTGATTGACCTAGGCTCTGATTGACCTAGGCTCTGATTGACCTAGTCTCTGATTGACCTAGGCTCTTGGTGACCTAGTCTCTCATTGACCTAGGCTCTGATTGACCTATGCTCTGGTTGACCTAGTCTCTGATTGACCTAGGCTCTGATTGACCTAGGCTCTGATTGACCTAGGCTATGGTTGACCAAGTCTTTGATTGACCTAGGCTCTGATTGACCTAGGCTCTGGTTGACCTAGGCTCTGGTTGACCTAGGCTCTGGTTGACCTAGGCTCTGGTTGACCTAGGCTCTGGTTGACCTAGTCTCTGATTGACCTAGGCTCTGATTGACCTAGGCTCTGGTTGACCTAGTCTCTGATTGACCTAGGCTCTGATTGACCTAGGCTCTGGTTGACCTAGTCTCTGATTGACCTAGGCTCTGATTGACCTAGTCTCTGATTGACCTAGGCTCTGATTGACCTAGGCTCTGATTGACCTAGGCTCTGGGTGACCTAGTCTCTGATTGACCTAGGCTCTGGTTGACCTATGCTCTGGTTGACCTAGGCTCTGTTGACCTAGGCTTTGATTCACCTAGGCTCTGGTTGACCTAGTCTCTGATTGACCTAGGCTCTGATTGACCTAGGCTCTGGTTGACCTAGTCTCTGATTGACCTAGGCTCTGATTGACCTAGGCTCTGGTTGACCTAGTCTTTGATTGACCTAGGCTCTGATTGACCTAGGCTCTGGTTGACCTAGGCTCTGGTTGACCTAGGCTCTGGTTGACCTAGGCTCTGGTTGACCTAGGCTCTGGTTGACCTAGTTTCTGATTGACCTAGGCTCTGATTGACCTAGGCTCTGGTTGACCTAGTCTCTGATTGACCTAGGCTCTGATTGACCTAGGCTTTGGTTGACCTAGTTTTTGATTGACCTAGGCTCTGATTGACCTAGGCTCTGGTTGACCTAGGCTCTGGTTGACCTAGTCTTTGATTGACCTAGGCTCTGATTGACCTAGGCTCTGGTTGACCTAGGCTCTGGTTGACCTAGGCTCTGGTTGACCTAGGCTCTGGTTGACCTAGGCTCTGGCTGACCTAGTCTCTGATTGACCTAGGCTCTGATTGACCTAGGCTCTGGTTGACCTTGTCTCTGATTGACCTAGGCTCTGATTGACCTAGGCTCTGGTTGACCTAGTCTCTGATTGACCTAGGCTCTGATTGACCTAGGCTCCGGGTGACCTAGTTGTCAGATTACCATCCTCATTGTAACCTACATCAATCCTATAAGCTTAGGCTAGAGATAGCCACCCAAACTTAGTTTGGGTGTAGAACTAGGGCTAACCCTAGTTGGGGGTTGGAACTCCAACCTTGGCCCCAAGGTTGGGTTGGGATTATTGGTCCCCCCAATAATGTTGAACCAACTTGGTCAACATTATTGGTCCCCCCAACCATCCCTCAACCCAACTTATTGGTGGGGGCCAATAAGTTGGCTTGGTTCCCAACCAACCCCTCCCCCCTAGCACTACTATGTATACCACCCTCTCTCCTAATGAATTCAATGGTTCTTCCTCTCATTTTTTCACATGGTATCAGAGCTACAACGGTTAACACCGTCTCTCGATCCTAAGAACCACACTTAACGCGTGCCGTATCACGCCCCCCCTCTCTCACTCGCGCTTAAGTTGCGCTAGTACGCTTTCACGGCCCCCCTCCCCCCTTGCACTCACGCACGTTCCCGAGCCTCCCCCGCACGAGTTACGATCGGCAGCCCGCTCCCTCCCCCCTCCCCTCTCCTCCCTCACTGCGGTGCATTCCGCCGACGAGGGCGGACGCGACCACCGCGGCGAATTCCGCCTACGAGGGCGGACGCGACCACCGCGGCGGATTCCGCCGACGAGGGCGGACGCGACCACCGCGGCGGATTCCGCCGACGAGGGCGGACGCGACCACCGCGGCGGATTTCCGCTGACGGACGCGCTACCGCAGGTGACGAGGCGCATCCGCGGACGGACGCACACCCACGGGCGACGAGGCACATCCGCGGACGGACGCGCACCCGCGGGCGACGAGGCGCATCCGCGGACGGACGCGCACCCGCGGGCGACGAGGCGCATCCGCGGACGGACGCGCACCCGCGGGCGACGAGGCGCATCCGCGGACGGACGCGCACCCGCGGGCGTCGAGGCGCATCCGCGGACGGACGCGCACCCGCGGGCGACGAGGCGCATCCGCGGACGGACGCGCACCCGCGGGCGTCGAGGCGCATCCGCGGACGGACGCGCACCCGCGGGCGACGAGGCGCATCCGCGGACGGACGCGCACCCGCGGGCGTCGAGGCGCATCCGCGGACGGACGCGCACCCGCGGGCGACGAGGCGCATCCGCGGACGGACGCGCACCCGCGGGCGTCGAGGCGCATCCGCGGACGGACGCGCACCCGCGGGCGACGAGGCGCATCCGCGGACGGACGCGCACCCGCGGGCGACGAGGCGCATCCGCGGACGGACGCGCACCCGCGGGCGACGAGGCGCATCCGCGGGCGGACGCGCACCCGCGAGCGACGAGGCGCATCCGCGGACGGACGCGCACCCGCGAACGGACGCGCACCCGCGGGCCACGAGGCGCAATCACGGGCGACACAAACGCAGCTGCGAGTAACCCGGCGCCACCATACGTTACGTGACCGCACCACCCTTCCAAGTGGTGTCGTCCTCTTTGACCGTACCCGCCCTCAAGCCGGTGTCGTCACCCCCTCCCCTCCTCCTCCTCATGGCGGACGACTCCACTCCCATCGAGCTCGGAGCCATTGACAAGCTCGAACTTCTCCATGACACCACGGCCGTAAACTGGGCGTCGTTTGAAGATACGCTTCACACACACCTTGGCTCCGTCATCATTCAAGATTATTGCCTTCTTGATGTCGTCCTCGAGCACCCTAATGGCCTCCCACCTGTACTCCCCCCTCCCCTTGAACCTCCTCCCCCTGATGCCCCTCGTCCACCCGAGCCTCTTCCCGACCCCCCGCGTGCCCCAGTTCATGATGACAACCCGGATCGCTGGGGGGCCAACCTGAACACTTACAACAGGCTTCGCGACACTTACACCCTCCAGCGTGAGGCGCACCGTGTTGCGGAAGCAGCACACGCTGATGCTACTGCACGCCTCCTCTCCTACGCTCAACACGAAAAAGACTATGCTGAGGAGCTTCGCAAGATCCACAAGGATGTTGCAGCATGGCGCATTGCTGATCGTCGTGCACTCGCCATCATCTTCTCCTGCATCCCCTCCCACCTCAAACGCGACCTTCGTCCCACCTCCTCCTCTGGACTCTGGAAAACCCTCTCTACTCAGTACGATCGTCAGGACCTTCGCTCCCTCCTCGCCCTCTTCCGCAAATTCCAAGACATCACCCTTGACTCCTCCCCCACTGCTGCTGCCTACACCCGTCGCCTCATTGACACTGCGCAACGCCTCAATGACCGCGGCATTGTCATCTCTGAGTCCCTTCTTACTGCACGCATCCTTGACTGCCTCCCTCCCACATATGACACCTACCGCATCACCTTCACCTCTCGCTACCGTCATCCTCCTCCTGTGGCTGACACCATCGAGTGGCTCCTTGACAGCGAAGCGGACATTCAACGTGACTCCGCCACCGTCAATGCTGTCCAGACCCGCAAAGCTACCACAGGCAACCACAACAGCGGAACAGGTGGCGGCCCAGGTGGCGCCGGTGGTGGTGGTGGTGGACGTGGTGGCGGCCGAGGCGGAGGACGCGGTGGTGGTCGCAGTGGTGGCCGTGGCGGACGCGGCGGATATCCCTCACCTTCAGGCACCCTCCCCCCGTGTCAGTACATCATCCGCTATGGCTCCAACAAAGGTCAGCCATGCTCTCAGACCACTCACACCACGGACACGTGCTTCAAAGCCCTCACGGACGAGTGGTTTGCACGTGGCAACGTTGGCACTCCACCTCGCTGGAACACTGTTTTCCCACGCCCCTCTATTCATGACATCCGCACCCTCCCCGCATATCAGCCCTCTACTCCCAACCTTCACAATGTCCTCACTCAGCATCTCCCATCTCACATCCTTCAACAAGTTCAGCATCTTCTCCCCTCCACTCCCACCACACCCACTCCTCCCCCATCCACACCTCCGCCTCAAGCCCCTCCCCCTCACTACCCTCCACCCTATGCTGGCTGGCCTTACTCTCCTTACCCACCTCCTGGATATGGTCATGCACCTATTGGACCTGCTACCACTCCTGCTGAACCACCATCCTCCTCCTCCAACCCTCCTGGCTTTACTCCATTCCCCTCTGCTGGATTCATAGGACATGTTAGCACTCCTCCTGCTGATTCTATGTATGCACATGCTATTAATGAGTCTCTCTTCCAGTACTCCGCCCTTTCCTCCTCCTCTTCATGCCTTGAGTTTATCCTTGACAGTGGCGCGACACACACTGTTCTGCGTGATGCAGGCACACTGGTACCCCTCCCCACTCCCTCCACTATCCACGGAGCTGACTCCAGCTTCACCATCACAAGTAGTCACACCTCCACCCTCCCCTGTCCCATCTTCCCCTCAGGTACAGTCACAGGTCTATACATCCCCTCCCTACGCAACAATCTGGTAGCACTGTGTGACCTCACCAGGTTCAATCTCACCGCCCTCTTCCCCGGTCATGCACGCCACTGCGACCTCTTTCAAACCACCACTGGTCACTTCATCTGTCGCATTCCCCTCTGCCCTCGCACAAATCTGTACACGTACCGCACCCCTCGCACCTCCATTCACCACCTCATCGCCCCCACCTCACCCCTTCCCCTCCCCTCACCTCCGCTCCCCCCTCCCTCCCAACCTCCCATCCCCTCCCCCATCCCCTCCCCCCTCCTCCCCTCCCCTCCCCCCCCCCTTCCCCACCTCCTCCTCCTCCTGTCACTGTCGTGACCTCACCCACCCCGCAGTTCTCCTTCACCACAGGTTGGGTCATCCCAACTTTGCCACCCTCCGTCAAACCGTCTCCACCCAACTCCTCGACGGACTCCCCCTCACCCTTCCCCCTCTCCCCCCATCACCCTCCCCTCCCTGCTCAGTATGCGTCGAAAGCAAACTGAAACAGGCTCCCCACAAGAGTCATCCCTCCTTTTCTCCCCAGCCTCTTGATCTCGTTCACATGGACCTCTGGGGCCCCAACCCTTCCCCCACCAGGCAAGGTCATAAATACCTGCTCATCCTGGTGGATGACCACAGCCGCTACTCCTCCGTCTCCCTCCTTCGCACGAAGGCGGAGGCCCCGGCTGCTATTATTGCTTGGGCTGAACAAGCACGCACCCATTTCAAACGGCCTGTCTCCCGCTTCCACTCTGATGGCGGTGGTGAGTTCCTTAACAACATGCTCTCATCCTACTGCACCACTCGTGGTATCATTCACACCCACACCCTACCTCATTCCCCTCAGCAGAATGGCGTGGCGGAGAGTAGGGTCCGTGAGGTCACCAAAACTGCTCGGTGCCTCATGGTCCATGCCTCCTGCCCGCCCTCTCTCTGGGGCTATGCCATCCTCCACGCTGCCATCCTCACTAACTTGTACCCTCATCCCTCCCGGCCCACCACCACTCCCACCGCACTCTGGACATCCAAAAAGCCCGACATCACCCCCCTGCGCGTGTGGGGTTCCATGGCGTATGTTCTCATACACCCTGCCGACCGCTCACGCAAAGCTGGAAAGCTAGCCTCCCGCACTCTCCCCTGCATTTTCCTTGGTCACAACACCTCCTCCCCGGACTATCTCTTACTCCATCCCCCCTCTGGTCGCCTCATTCGTAGTCGGGATGTGGAATTCGATGAAGCCCACCCGTACTACACCTCCCCCAAAGCCCCTAACCCCCTCCCTCTAACCACCCGTCCCTTTCTCTGGACTGACACCATTCCCCCCCCACCCCCTCTCCCCTCCCCTTCCCTTCTCCCCCCCACCACCATTGTCCCCCCTGCACCCCCTCCCCCCTCTCCCCCCGCCTCGTCAGGAGACATCCTTGACCCCGTCCACCCTCCTTCCCCATCCGCTTCCCCTCCCCCTTCCTCCCCACCCGCTGCCCCTCCCCCCCCTCCTTCCCCTCCGTCCCTTTGTGCAGAACATCCCCCGCCTCCCCCCTCCCCACGCCCTACCCCACTCACTCCACCTCCGTCCTCACGGCCCCTACTTCCCACTCCCCCTCTCATACTCCGCCACTACCCTCACACCCGCTCCACGGTCCCCATTCTTGGTACCCCCAGGTCCACCCCCCCCTCCCTCCAGTCTCTCACATCCATCCCCCTTCTCCGCCACCATAGCACCTCCCCTCCCCCCCGCACCAGCACCTCAGGTTCTCTCAGCAGTCGCGCTCCCGTCTCTCTGCCCCTCACGGCAACCCAGCGAAGCCGAGCTGCAATGCAGCTGTCTCCTCGCCCCGACCCTCAGCGCAGCAGAGCACCAGTGCACCTGTGTCCCCGCATCAGCTCGACCCACCAGCGCAGCTGTCTTGCAACTTCACCGCCTCCTCTTCCTCCTCCTCTCACTCCGGACCTCACTGAGGATTCTCATGATGAGCTACTGTTCCTCCACCTCCTCTCACCTACCATCGCCCCAGTCGTCCGCACAATGGCTGGCACCACTGTTCTTCTCTTCTCCACCACCCCCACCATCTACGAACCCACCACCTATGAGCAAGCACTTGCCTGCCTTGATGCACCTCTCTGGATCGAGGCCATGGTCAAGGAGAGCGATGCCTTCATCAGCAACCGCTCGTTTATCGACGTCCCTCGTCCCTCAAAGCGCAACGTGGTCCAAGGCAGGTGGCTTTTTCGAGTCAAACTACTCCCTGGCAACGCTCCGGTGTACAAGGCTCGATATGTGGCAAAAGGCTTCACACAGACCTATGGCTCAGACTTCTTCGAGACCTACTCACCCACCGCCACTCCACCGGTCATTCGCGTGTTTTTGGACTTTGTTGGCAGACGTGGGATGCTTCTTCACTCCATGGACGTCACCACCGCCTTTCTGCAAGGCGACCTTCATGAGCTCATTTTCCTGGAACGTCCCAAAGGCTTCCATGCTCCTCACGACCCTACCACTGTTTGGAAGCTGCTACGTCCTGTCTACGGGCTCAAACAAGCTCCTCGGGAATGGCACGCCAAACTCTCCTCCACCCTTCGCGCACTTGGCTTTCGCCCCTCCCGTGCCGCCTCATGCCTCTTCCTGCGCCTCACCCCATCACCCTTCTTCATCCTCGTCTACGTCGACGACATGCTGCTGGCCGCTGACACAACTGCTGACCTACAGGAGGTCAAGGATGCGCTGCAGAAACGCCTTGCCTGCAAGGACCTAGGGGAGGTTCGCAACTACCTCGGCATGGAGATCACTCGCGACCTCACTGCCAAGACCATCACCCTCTCTCAGTCATTTTACATCGAGAAGATTCTTGAGAGGTTTGGCATGACAACCTGCAAACCCATCCCCACACCACTTGCATTCGGGCATCAGCTCGCCCCTCCCACCACTCCCGTCACCTCCCCTCATCCCTACGCAGAACTTGTTGGGGCCCTGATGTACGCCATGGTCTGCACTCGTCCCGACCTTGCATACCCAGTCAGTGTTCTGGCGCAGTTCGTTGGCACCGGCAGGCATGGTGAAGAGCATTGGAAGGCGGCCATGCGTGTTCTTCGCTACCTTCAAGGCACGAAGGACCATGTCCTCACTCTGGGTGGTGTGAATCCGCCCATTCTTCAAGGCTTCAGCGACTCATCTTGGGCCGACGCACAGCCCGACCGTCGCAGCTCTCAGGGATATGGCTTCACACTTGGGGGCGGCCTCATCAGTTGGCGCTCCACCCGCTCCTCCTCCGTTGCCCTCTCATCCTGCGAAGCCGAACTGTACGCGGTCACGATGGCGGCTCAAGAAGCACGTTGGCTCAGCTACCTGCTTACCGACCTTGGCTCTCCACAGCCCCGCCCCACCCTGTGGTGTGACAACGACAGTACCATCCACCTCACCAAGGAAGCAGTTTTTCATGGTCGCTCTAAACACATCGAGCTTCGCTACTACTTTGTTCGCGACCTTGTCCAAGATGGTCACCTCACCGTTCGCAAGATCGCCTCCTCCGACAACCTCGCCGATCTCTTCACCAAGGCTCTCCACCGCTCCGACCACTCTGCGCTTTTGCGTCTCCAGGGACTTGCTCCCCGCGGTGGCTGACTCAGGGGTTGTTACTCTCTCTCTTCCCTAGCTTATGGATTTCTGTAGGTTAAGGGGTTGTGTCAGATTACCATCCTCATTGTAACCTACATCAATCCTATAAGCTTAGGCTAGAGATAGCCACCCAAACTTAGTTTGGGTGTAGAACTAGGGCTAACCCTAGTTGGGGGTTGGAACTCCAACCTTGGCCCCAAGGTTGGGTTGGGATTATTGGTCCCCCCAATAATGTTGAACCAACTTGGTCAACATTATTGGTCCCCCCAACCATCCCTCAACCCAACTTATTGGTGGGGGCCGATAAGTTGGCTTGGTTCCCAACCAACCCCTCCCCCCTAGCACTACTATGTATACCACCCTCTCTCCTAATGAATTCAATGGTTCTTCCTCTCATTTTTTCACACTAGTCTCTGATTAACCTAGGCTCTGATTGACCTAGGCTCTGATTGACCTAGGCTCTGGTTGACCTAGTCTCTGATTGACCTAGGCTCTGATTGACCTAGGCTCTGGTTGACCTAGTCTTTGATTCACCTAGGCTCTGATTGACCTAGGCTCTGGGTGACCTAGTCTCTGATTGACCTAGGCTCTAATTGACCTAGTCTCTGATTGACCTAGGCTCTGGTTGACCTAGTCTCTGATTGACCTAGGCTCTGATTGACCTAGGCTCTGGTTGACCTAGTCTTTGATTGACCTAGGCTCTGATTGACCTAGGCTCTGGTTGACCTAGGCTCTGGTTGACCTAGGCTCTGGTTGACCTAGGCTCTGGTTGACCTAGGCTCTGGTTGACCTAGTCTCTGATTGACCTAGGCTCTGATTGACCTAGGCTCTGGTTGACCTAGTCTCTGATTGACCTAGGCTCTGATTGACCTAGGCTCTGGTTGACCTAGTCTCTGATTGACCTAGGCTCTGATTGACCTAGGCTCCGGGTGACCTAGTCTCTCATTGACCTAGGCTCTGATTGACCTAGGCTCTGATTGACCTAGGCTCTGGTTGACCTAGTCTCTGATTGACCTAGGCTCTGATTGACCTAGGCTCTGGTTGACCTAGTCTTTGATTGACCTAGGCTCTGATTGACCTAGGCTCTGGGTGACCTAGTCTCTGAT